CTGATTTTACATATTCAAGTCTTTTTTCTTCTTAAATAACTCTACCTACAGGTTGTCCATCTTGTTTATCTTTTCAAAATAACACCAAGTAGTCTAGAGAGATGACTCAGCATTTAAGAGCACTGGCTGCTCTTGCAGAGGAACAAGGTTTGGTTACCAGCACCCACATGATGGTTTACAACCATCTATAACTCCAGATCCAGGGGATCCAAAGCCCTCTTCTGGCCTTCAAAGATACCAAGCACATACGTGATGCATATACATTCATGCAGGAAAAATATTTAAGCACATGAAACGTTTCTAAATTAAGTAAAAATTAACCTATTTTTTTTTACTAGTTCCTTGAAATTTAAAGCTAGGCTGATCATTTGAGATTTTTCTTTTTTCTTATGTGTGCACTTGTCACAATACACTTCTCTTTTAGAACTGGTTTGCCACATTCCATGAATCTGGTATGCTGTATTTTCATTTTTGTCTCAAAGTTGTTTTCTTTTTTTAGTTTATTTTTAAAATTTTCTGTTGACTCATTGACTGTGCAAGAGACTGCTCTTTCATTTCCACATATTTTCCAGTTTCCCTCCTGTTATTAACTTCTATTTCACACCATTGTTGTTAGAAGCAATACTTAAAATGATGTGATTTAAATCTGCTTAAATCTACTAAGATTTCATTTGTGTCCTAAAATATACTCTATCCTGGAGAATGTTCCTTGTTCTTTATTTATTCTTCTGTCATTGGATGGAATGTTCTGGAAAATGAATGTTAATTCACTTTAGCCTAAAGTATAAGTCAAGTCCAACATAGCTTTATTATCTGAATTGTTTATCTTTACTTATAATTGTTATTATAGCTATAAATTATGCTTTTAATTATTTTCTTCCTTATTATTGTCTTCCTTATTATATTGTTCAAAACGTTGTTGAAGTTTCTACTATTATTAAATTACATAGCACTTTTCCCTTCCAATTTTTAATATATCCTTTATATATTTTGGTTATCTGATGTTGAGCACATATATATTTATAATTATTGCATACTTTTTGTGAATTTGTCCTTTTAAACATTTCATAATGATCTTCGATGCCTCTCAATAGAGAGTTTTACTTAAAATCCACTAGTTTTCTAATGTATCTATGCATGTTATCTTTTATCAATGTTTATAAAGAATACGTTTTCCCATTTCTTACACACAGCATGTATGTGGGCACTTAAAAAAATCTATTCAGCTACTCTAAATTTGGGGGGTTTTTTGTTTTGTTCTGTTTAGTTTTTTGAGGCAGGGTCTCTCTGTAGCCCCAGCTGGCCTGGAACTCACTATATAGATAAGGATGGCCACAATCTCACAGAGATTCACCAGCCTCTGCTTCTCAAGTGCTGGTATTAAAGGTGTGTGCCACCACATTTGGCTAACTACATTTTTTATTGGAAAATTTAGACCATTTCTGTTTAAAGTAATCAATAATAAGGACATTTATCAACTTCTTCAGTAATCTGATGGTTTTCTATTTTTTATATATTTTATGTATATAATACAGGCTTTGCTCTGTAGTAATCATGAGAGTTACATAAAATATCTACGTAATTGTTTTAAAAGTTTCATTATATCTTATTTATTTTATTGTGTGTGCATACATGGGAGTGGGCATGCCTTTAGTACAGCCCACATATGGAAATCACAGTAGTACTGGCAGGAGTTTGTTCTCTCCTTCCACCAGCTAGAGTTCAAGGTATCCAACTCGGGTCTTCAGGCACGATGGCAGGCACCTTTATAGAATGAGTTAGCTCATTGGTCTGGCTGCTATTATTATTGTTGCTGTTATTTTATGTTGCTCAGGCTACCCATGAATTCTTGAGCTCAAGTGATCCTCCAATATCTACCTCTCAAATGGGATTATAGGCATGTATCACCACAATCAACATAAATTATAATAGCACTCTGCTTTAATCTGATAACAGTTGTGTGTATAATCTTTCCATATTTAATTCTACACCATATTTTTATTAAGGTGTTATTTTTTAATATTTTATTTAGTATTTTTATTTTATGAGCTAGAGTCCAAGGTATCCAACTCGGGTCTTCAGGCACGATGGCAGGCACCTTTATAGAATGAGTTAGCTCATTGGTCTGGCTGCTATTGTTATTATTGTTGCTGTTATTTTATGTTGCTCAGGCTACCCGTGAATTCTTGAGCTCAAGTGATCCTCCAGTATCTACCTCTCAAATGGGATTATAGGCATGTATCACCACAATCAACATAAATTATAATAGCACTCTGCTTTAATCTGATAACAGTTGTGTGTATAATCTTTCCATATTTAATTCTACACCATATTTTTATTAAGGTGTTATTTTTTAATATTTTATTTAGTATTTTTATTTTATGTGTATGAGTGCCTGCATGTAAGTGCACCTGTGTCATACAATGCCCTCAGAGGTCAGAAGAATGTGTCATCTAGTCCCTATGGTGTCATTTTTATATGCATATTCATTAACAGATTTTTTTACCTGTACTTTGGTTCTACACTTTATACTGTAATTATAAGTGATTTAAATAAATAAATTTAAATAAATGGTAGCATTTGTAACACACACACACACACACTCCTCTTTTGCAGAGACATCCACAGATAATCTTGGGGGCTAGAGAGATGGCTCAGTGGTTAAGAATGCTGACTGTTCTTATAGAAGACCTGGGTTTGAATCCCAGCACCCACATGGCAGCTAACAACTGTCCATAACTCCAGTTCCAGGGCCAGCACCCACAAGGCAGCTAACAACTGTCCGTAACTCCAGTTCCAGGGGATCCAACAGCCTCTTCTGTCCTCCATGGGCATTGTATGACAGGGTGCATTTACCTGTAAGCAAGCATAACACTCAGACACATAAAATAAAAATAATAAAATATGTTTTTTTTTTAAATTTTAGTCTTGAAATATGTTACCAGTTTCCACATGATCTCGTCTGATAAACTTGTTTGGGCTGTTGAGACAAGATATATGTAGCCTAAGCTGACCTCAGACTCGCTGTGTAGCCCAAACTGGCCTTGACCTTGCAATCCTCCTGCCTCAGCCTCTCAAATGCTGACACACTGCAGGCATGTACCTCCATGAACATCTTGTTTGGGCTTCCTTACTTAATAGCTAAAGTGGTGGTTGAAACCTCACATCAACAACTGCAGCTAATAAAATACAAATCTATAGTTTTTGATCCAGCTTCCAATTCATGCATCATTGGTTCTTTCATAAGAAATTTTTCCCAAACTCAAGAGGAGGAGATATAGACCTTCTCAAGGGGAGAAAGTAAGTCATACAGAATGGGGAACTCTGCTCTGGATGCTTTGTTATGTCAGACACTTCAAAAAGAAAAGTTTGAGTATATTTATAACTTTGTTGAGATGAGAATACATATTCATTGTTCTGTGTCCTTTGAAAATCTGGCTATGAAAAATGATTACCTGGCCTGGCAAGATGGCTCATTAGATAAGGGCACTTGATGCCAAATCTGATAACCTGAGTTCAACTGGAACATACATGGTAGAAGAGGAGAAACAATTTTTAAAAGTTGTTGTCTGGCTTCCACAGGCATTTTGTGGCACATGCACCACCACCACCCACACATAGAGGCACACACAAAATAAACATTTTAAAACAATTTTAATGGGCTGGAGAGATGGATCAGCAGTTAAAAGCACTGGCTTCTCTTGCAGAGGACCCTGGTGTAATACCCAGCACCCACACGGCAGCTAACAACAATCCACAACTCTAGTTTCTCTTCTCACTTCCATGGGCATTGCATGACAGGGATGCACTTACATACATAAACACAATAAGAAAAAGAGTTTTATGTTTACTGTTTATCAAACACTGCTGTAAATTCTTTGCATTCATTATTAGTTCATCAGTCTCCCAACCATACTCTTGGATATTATAAATGTTGCATGACTTTTTCATTTCTCCAATGCTAGGTTCTCCCCAAAGTACTCAATTTTTAACTTTATTTAATTCAAAAACATTGAATTTTTTTCCTGCTTATTTCCTTCACTTCTAGAGTTTTCTAACTCTATGCAATTTTAAATGCTTCTTTAATACTTCAAGTTCCTTTGACAACAGTATAGTGCAACTCTGATCTGTGCTACATGCACATAACCATGGAATAGTCTCATTGTTTAGAAATTTTGTTCTACCAATAACTTTGTGTTGGGTCCCATGGCAATACTTTCCTGTGGCTGGATTTCATAGGAGTTCATTTTCCCTGAGGCTCTCAAGGAGCCAGGATGTTTTTGTTTTGTTTTGTTTTGTTTCAACTCCCAGCACTCTCTCTGCTGTTGCTTTGTTGAAGTGCTCAGAAGAGAGGTCTCCTGCTTCCTGAGTTGCCCATCCCAGGAGCGTCCCACCTTCCTCCCCACTTCTGCAGTTTCTACAGAGCTCGAATTTGATCGCACTCATAGCAGTTTCTCTTTATGGTGAGGCCCTGTACAGAGGGGAGCAATGGCTTATTGATTTCAAGTTTCTCATACACCTATTATAATACACCTCCCCACCAAACTTACAGAGGCCCTTTCACATCAGCCCACTATTTTATTGAGTAAAACCCATTGGGAATCAGCTGCTTTTCTGACCCAGCCTTTCAGTTAAGTCCTCTGGCTGTTTGTGGTTTGTTTTGTCCTCAGATTGTCTGCTGTCCCTTTTCTCTTTTCTCCCTTTACCTTAGCATTTAGTGAAACTTCACAAAGTTTTAGAAATCCTTACAGTTTGTTTATCTTACCTAATATATAGTTTATAAAATAACCAGGAGTTTAGAGTATTAGAAACTGTTAATAAGAAAAAAATGACATAGGAAAACTGAAAGGGAGAACTGAAAGTGGGAAATTCCTGTGAAGCAGAGAAGACCATCCCTTATAAATAGCTCATACCCATGGAGGAAGAACACTCACACTCCAGACTTCAGGAGGTTTTGTCCTACCGTGCAGGTAGCAGCCAACACCAGCCCAGCTTCCATCATGACCAACGGGTGTATCCTCCAAACCTTGCTCCTTCTGTGCTTTTCTACCACAGCCCTCTCCATCAGCTACAAGGCGCTTCGACTCTATCAAAGCAGCGGCAGTGTGACATGCCAGGAGCTCCTGTTACAGCTGAATGTAAGGCCCTGCCTTGAGGACAGGATTAACTTTAAGCTCCCTGAGAAAATTAAGCACCAACAGCAGTTCAAGAAGAAGGATGCTGCCTTCCTCATCCATGAGATGCTCCAGAATATCTTCTCTGTCTTTACAAATGGTAAGGCCCTGCCTTGAGGACAGGATTAACTTTAAGCTCCCTGAGAAAATCAAGCACCAACAGCAGTTCAAGAAGAAGGATGCTGCCTTCCTCATCCATGAGATGCTCCAGAATATCTTCTCTGTCTTTACAAATGATTTCTCCAGCACTGGGTGGAATAAGACCATTGTTGAGAACCTCTTTGGTGAACTCCATAAACAGATGGACCGTCTGGAGACAATCCTGAAGGAAAAACCAGAAGAGAGCTTAGCCTGGAGAAACTCCATGGCCATTCTCCATTTGAAGAGCTATTATCGGAGACTGCAAAGGTACCTGAAAGACAAGGAGTACAGCAGCTGTGCCTGGATGGTGGTCCGAGCAGAAATCATGAGGAACTTTCCCATCATTAGCAAACTTACTGATTGCTTTCAGAACTGAGAGGCCTGTGCCTCTGAGATCTGACAATGATTTCAGAAACTCTAGCAGATGCGTTCAGTGACTGGTAGTGAATGTACTGTTTGAAAGTTCCAAAGAAGATGTTATATTTTTATTAATTTATGAGTTAAATTATTTTCTACTCTTTATTTAAAT